AAAAAAAAACAAAACATCCGATTTTGTAAGTTTGTAATATTTGCAACGTACCCTTATTTTGTTGTCCAAAAAAAAAAGAATTGTGATCGTTTGCATCCTTAAAACTTATTTCGTCTTTTAAGTTTGTAATATTTTTTATTTTCTAAAAAGTTTTAAAAAACTTCTAGTAATTTTAATTCTTTCAAAATGTTTAAAAGCATAGGTAGTTGAGTCCGGTGATCAAAGTGTTCCACCTGAGTATGTTTTGGCTGAGGATGTTGTGGATGAGAGTGAGGGTATTGCCAACGTTGGCCCCTCACAAAATGTAGTTGCTAAGACTCCAAAGCCAAAAAAATAAGGTGGATTCACGGATGGTGTTGAGGTTGATCGATCAATACACGTTAAGTTCAAAAATAGGAAGCTTTTCTCACAATTCGTTGACGGGAGAAGAAAACTGAGAAGAAATTACAGGTTAAATACGAAAAATGGAAGGACAAAGAAATCTCCAAAATAAGTAGCATGCCAATTGTTATATTTCTCAAACTTTTATAGCATATATGTGACTTTTCTAAGTGAGATTCTCTTAACATGAACACATATTTTTCTTTTATTTATTTTTTGTTAGGTTAAACGTTGGGCTAGCACCTACTTGGTATCAAAAGCCAGCTTTTATTTTAAAACCATTGTGGGTGTTAGGTATATGCTCTCTAATGAAGTAAGTAATTATTCTTAGAATTCAATCTCAGCACTTGACTTCATTAGTTCAAGAAATCATAAAATCTACAATTTTTGTAGCATATCGATCTGTTTTTGGACGTGCTCTCTCAGAAGTTGTACAATGGGATCCAATTGAAGGCGGGAGTAATAACTGTTTCAACGATTAACATTCAGGATTGCGCTATATTTGTAATTGTTCTTTCCATTATTTATATTTTTTGCTTAATTATTTATATTTTCTTGAATGATTCATGTTGATTCTTAATACATATGTTCTGCGCTTGTTGCCGGATCAATGGATAGTGCTTCATCCTGATGATCCTCAATGTACGCAGAGGTATCCAAACACCACAAATGATAAGAGATGGAATATTCCTCAGCATTTGGTCAACTGTGTTCGTAGTATTGCAACTTGTTGTGGATCTCTTTGGCATCCAAATCCCGATGTGAGTTATTCTTTTCTTCTTTATAGAACCATGTTGCTTTAACATCAAATTGGTTATGTAATGTTGGTATGTGATGTTGTGTCAACTATTGGGTAGTATATTGGATGGTATGTGATGTTGTGTCAATCATTGTGTAGTATATTGGATGGTATGTAATGTACTTGTAACATTTATAACATTGTTACTTTATAAAAAATATCCATGCACCAAAGTAAATGTTTTATTTTAAAAACTATTTCTTAAACTTAAAAAAATATATATGCATCCGTAAGACCATGATGCTAACAGTTAAGTTTCACTTAATCAAGAATGATATTCACTTTTAATGATATTGACTTTATATGTTTAAAGTTAACTAATTGATGTCCTTGATCCAGCCCCCCATAAATAAGAGGGGAATCATCATGCACAAAAGTTAAATCTTAATAGACTGATGAAGAGTTGGAGACTATCTAATGACAATCAACCAGTTACGGATCTAGGGATTCCATTCAGAGGGGACCGACTTTTAAATGTTATAACGAGCTTGTAACTTAAGTCAAAACACTCATTTATATGAGAAAGTATTTAGTATGAATATAAATATCAATATATGTACCATCAAATTTTTTAAAAATTTAGAGAATATGTAACCCTAAAACTTAAAAAAAAATGTGATTTTATGTATTTATAATTTAAGAAGAAAAAGAAAAACTTTTGCTAGTACATTGTGTTTATCATCTGAACATTTTTTAAAAGAAAAAAAGTAAACAAAAACTTTTGCAGTACAGTGCATAGATTTTTTTGTTAACGAGAGCTTATCAAATGCATATTTTTTAAGAAGAAAACAAATAAATTTAAAAATATTTGATTACACAAAAAAAAAAGTAAAAAATCAGCATTACCATATGTAACAATACTAAATACTAGGTTTTGTAAATCAATAACTTGATTTACAATTAAGAGATCAAAGAGTAAATAATTATAAATTATTTTCAAAGATTTATCTAAAAATGTAAAATATAACCATTTTTAAAATAAATAATTTATTAACTTAAATTAAAAAAAGCACAAAATATAATTATAAATATATTGTAAATATTTTGTATATTTTTATACATATTTTTTAATATTTTCTTTATATGTATATATATAAGATTTTTCAAATTTATTTTACATCAAATCAATTTTAATCATTTTATTTTAAATGTTATTTTAATTCACTCTTAAAATTTTCACTAACAACTAACTATACCACATTTTTTAAAATTAACTATAATTAACAAAAATAACTCATTTTAAACAAAATATTTCATAAACAACATTTCTACAAAGATATTCTTAATTGTCAGTTTTAAAATTTATTTGTTATATACAATAAAAATGTAATTTATCATAATATAATATATATATTGGGCAATTTGACATAATTATCTAATATTATTCCCACATAAAATTTGTAAACGGCTAATTGTTCGGTTTTTAGTCGCAAAACAATTAACTCTGTTTAATTCTTTCCCAAGTAAGTAAATCTTTTTTTTTTTTTTACTAAAAAGAAAAAAAAAAATATTCACCAATTTGACATTATATTTATATTTATAATATAATATTATCTCACTTGTTAATATTTCAATTGCCTTTCCGAATTTCCCTAGGCCATAGACATACACATATAAATAAAGGTCGATGGTTTTGGTAAGTCGCAACACACACACAATTCTCGTTTAATTCTTTACCAAGTAAAAGTTTCTGAGCAGCAAACAATTAATGGCGGCGCATCTCTCCCTGGGAATCCGGTTTCATCCGACGGACGATGAGTGCATGTCCTATCTCCTCCACGCAGTCACCGGCGATCCTATTCCCGGCATCTCCTCCACCGCCGATCTATTCGGAGAGAAGGAGCCGTGGGAGTTCTTTTCCGGCGAGGAGATCCAAGAGCGCTACTTCTACACACGGCTAAAGAGGGTCAGCAAGAACAACAACAACAACAGCAGCAAGTCTACTTTGTCCAAGGTTGGCAGTTATCATCGTTATTGTCGTAACATCGGAAAAGGCACATGGTCCAACAAGGGCCAGAAGATCCCTATCCATGGGGACAGGGGCTCTCTGTTGGGCCACAAGAGGTCGTTTCGGTACGAGTCGAGGAAAGGTGGCTCGGTCGGTGAGTGGACGCTGAAGGAGTACTCTCTTCCCGACCACAAGTTGGGACATGTGAAGCCGGAGTTTAAGGACTACGTGCTTTGCCTTCTGAAGAGGAGAAAGGAAAAGAATAAGAAGAAGAATGGACATGATTCGGTGCCGGCCGTGGAAGCAGATTTGCCCTACTTGCTTTCGACTTTGGTTAATCGTCGTGAGACAGAGACGTCGACCGAACAACAACAACTCGACGATCACGCGCAAGGTGGGTCGTCTGATTTGGTAGATCAATCACAAATTTATAGTGATAATTATCTTAGGCAGAATTCTGGTCCGGTACATGGGGATTTGGCTTACTCGTTGTCGACTCCCGGTGATCAGTCGTCACATACTCGACAACTCGACGATCACGTGCAAGGAGGGTCGTCGGATATGGTAGATGAATCACTAATTTATTGTGATAATTATCTTAGACAGAATTCTGATCCGGTACAAGGGGATTTGGCTTACTTGATGTCGGCTTTGGGTGATCAGTCGTCACATACACGACATCACGTGCAAGAAGGGTCGTCTGATTTAGTAGATGAATCACAAATTTGTTGTGATGATTATCTTATACAGAATTCTGGTCCGATACAAGGGGATTTGGCTTACTCGCTGTCGGCTTTGGGTGATCAGTCATCACATACACGACAACTCGACGATCACGTGCAAGGAGGGTCGTCTGATTTAGTAGACGAATCACAAATTTGTTGTGATGATTATCTTAGACAGAATTCTGGTCCGATACAAGGGGATTTGGCTTACTCGCCGTCGGCTTTGGGTGATCAGTCGTCACATACACGACAACTCCAAGGGTATTTTGGGCATGCGGATTTGTCCTATTTGATGTCGACTTTGGGCGATCAAACGCAACTTTGTTGTGACGTTAACATGCAAGCAAGCAATAACGATTGGATGACGTCGTCAAATGTTGGTTTGCTTGATGACACTGATTTCGGAGCTCTCGACCATTGGCTTCGGCATTGTGCTGCTGCTTGACAGAGTTATATTATGTATTATTATGTTCAAACTCATTTAATTCTGAATCCAATCGGGATCTTCTTTTGTTATATGTATGTTGATTCTGTGTCTTTATTCCTTAGTTCATGCAATAAGTATGAATGGTTATGATTGTTAAGGCAATTGTTTTGAAGATTTTGGAGTTTATTATTAAGAATATGTTTCCTTGTACACGCAATTTGGACACCACAAGACTTATTTGGATGGAATCTTGCAAATAAATAATGCACCATTAAAGATAAATTTGGACCAACACATAAAATTGCTTTTTTTTTTTTTTTTTTTTT